TCTTTCGGATATATGTTATAATCGGTTCGGGTCGGTCAGGTCAGGTCAGTTCGGTTTTGGGTTTATTTCGGTTTGACTGGTTTTCGGTTTTGATTAAGTTTTGGTTTGGGTTTGTATCGGTTTGTGTTTATATAGGATCATGTTTATATCGGTTTGGGTTTGTATCGGATCGGGTTTATATCGGTTCGGGTTTGTATCAGTTTAGGTTTACATTGGTTCAGGTATATTTTGAATATATACTAATAAATCAGTAATATCACATATTAAATTTAGTCAATTTATGACATACTTCGTAGTTATTTTATTATTTAACATGAACGTATATAAAAAATAAAACTTACATAATTGACTAATTGTTTACATTCTTAAGTTTTCTCTCCTAAAATTTTCAGTGCGACCTTTTTCTTTAACATTCTACTTCGTACTTCCTCTATTTTTATTTAACTGCCAATTTCACTTTGTGTGTTTGAATAACTATATACGGAGTATAAAAATATATAATGAATTAAAATATACAGAGTAAAAGTTATTAACAAATTATTGGTATCGGAAAACACTTTAAATGTATTATTTTTAATATTTTTGAAGAGATGATGTTGGTCAAACTTTAAGTTCAAAGACGATAAAATACAAAAACACTTTAACTTTAGTTATGAAATACGGAGTAAAAGATTTGTACATGAAAGTAGTAACACGATTTGCACCCATAATTTAAATATGTTTTTTTAGAAACACATCAGCATATGTAATAATATATCGGTAATTCTTTTTCTCTAAGTTCATTTGATAAATGATATATTAATGAATTTGATCAATCTTTGGTCTAATCTATTTCGGGTTTAATCAGTTTTGGGTTTAACCGGTTCGGGTTTAATCGGTTCAGGTTAAATAGGATTTGGATCTGAATCGGGTCTGAAATCATTCGGTTTGGTTTTGGTTCGATTTGGATCATTTCGGGTGTTCGGTTCTATTTCGGTTCTTCAGTTTTTTGGTCAATTCTGGTTCGGTTCCGGGTTATTCGGTTCAGGTTATCAGGTCCGAGTCAGTTTTGCTAGGTCTAGCTTTGCTAGCCTCCACTTCATTGAATTTTCAAATTTCCTTCCCTCCTCCCAGACCACAAAAATCATTATGCAAATTAGGCAACTTACTTTCCTTGGTTTAAAAATAGCCAATCTGCAATCTTTGAAGGTACATTCTATACCAGAACATAGTATATACACCTTCTTGATTGCGAATAACGTGGCTAAATTTCAGCATTGATTTTGTTTCCTGGAAACCTTGATGGTTGGTTGATTTTTGTGTTTTTTAATCTTTTGGTGAATCTTAAAAAGAACTTGAGAGAAGATTATTCTCCGCAGTATGTTGTGGAGAGTTTTACAAGTAGCAGTAAGCTTGTAAGTTGTAACTAACGATTTTACAAGTAAAGCTTGAGTTAGTCTAAAAGCTACAAGAAACTGTGGAGTCTTGATTATCCGTATTGTAAAGTTCATGAAGGAGTTCTCTCTCTAGTAGACTAGAAATATGAGAAAAATTCGATGTACTTCTATTATCAAAACCCCCTCCCCCCTCAAATGAGAGCCTATATTTGTCCTAGAACATCAATTTCAGATTTTAGTTCTCTATATAATATTGTTTTTAGTTTTTCTATTCATTTTATCTTAAAACTTGTGCAGGCTGAAAAACACATCCATCAGAATTCATCAAAATCCAACCGGAGCAAAGTCAAACTTGTGCACAATTTTATATTATACATAAGAGGCTAAGCCCCATGAAGCTTGTAAGTCTCTCCCCTCTCAAACACTAGCTTCAATGTTTACTTCTTTTAGTGTTAGGTATAGACTATAGATTTAGTCTTATTGCACTCATTTTTGGATTTGTATGCATGCAGACATGTTTGAGCAAAGGTCAGGGCTATCATTTCCCTCCATGTCATGCTCTCCAGATTTGCGGTTTCCAGGTGTTATTTGATTGCCCCTTGGACCTTTCAGCTCTTTCAATCTTTTCTCCGCTGCCAATTGATCCTCCTTCTTTGCTTGATAGACTTGGAGTTCCTCATTCTTCAGAGTCGGTACCACTGATTGGATCAAATACCGGACCGTGTCTTGATGCCAACAGTTTAATACATGCAGAACCATGGTATCGAACTGTTGAACGGCTTAACCTTTTAAATACATCTTTCTTAGATGTTGTGTTGATCACAAGCCCAATGGGCTTACTAGGGCTGCCGTATCTCACTCGTAACCAAGACTTTTCTGCAAAGGTAATTAAAATTGAACTTGTAATGTAGTTTAAGTTATCCGGTTATCCCTTTGGAACATCCAGTGGCAATGGAACTAAAATATTTTCTATTGATACTCTCCCTTGCTCTAAATAAACTTCAGTCTCATTACCACTTGTGTTATAGAACTTTTGATGTATTTTCTAAATATGTAATTTTTATTCTTAAAATTTTCACTAATATTAAATAAAATGATGTGAAAATAAGTTCTGTCAATCATCAGTTACATTGCGTATGTCATAAACTAAAGTTTACTTAGGAATGGAGGGAGTAATATTTAGCATCCGGATTTAAATCAAAATGACACATTAAACTTCCCTTGCTACTTACTTTTTATAAAGTTTTGGGAAGTAAATCCATCAATCCATCAAGGGTCTAAAGAAAACAGCCTCTTCATTAATTACAGGGGTAAGACTGTACATCTTGACCCCCAACGGAGTTGGAATCAAACTGGGTTGCTATTGTTGTTGAGTTATCCCTATGGGCTATTTTAATATAGATTGTTTAATGCTGTTGTGTTTTCAGATTTATGCAACCGAAGCTGCTGTTAGACTTGGTGAAATAATAATGAAGGAGCTTGTTGGTATCCATATGGAGGTGAAGCAATTCTATGGGGCCACAGAGCCTGCTTTCTCAGAATGGATGAATTGGGAAAAACTTGAGTTGCTTCCCTTGGAACTAAAAGAGATTCTTTTGGGAAAACACGGAACAGGTCTTGCTGGGTGGATGCCATTGTACAGGTATTAGTATGTCATTAGCCTAATATCAAAATCATGTATATTCTTTAACTCTTTTTGCAATTATATAAAATGGTATTTTCTATTCCTCATATTTTGATTGGAAATTTTAGTACATGATATATAATGTTACAGTTTTGTGTTTTGTTTTTTCTTTTAAACTTGTTATCATCTGTTAATGCGAACTTGGGAATAAATTGTTCTTGGATGATCTGAAGTGTCTTTATATATTTCTTCAAACCAAGTCAGTGCCAAATAATCTGGTTTTATGCCTACTTAGAGCTTGTTCTCTTCGCTGATCTGATTTGATATGATTGTAGTTATATTTAAAGTTGTTTATGATCTGACTTGATTCTAAATATTAATAAGTGCTATGCAATAAGAATAAGTTGAAGAGAACAAGCTCTTAGTTTTCATTTCTTAATCACTCTAAAACAAAGCTAGCATTAATTGATTTGCTTGTATTTCTGCTTGAGGATCTAAATTGTAGATATTTTCAGTGCGGCTGAAGTCAAGAGTTGCATGCAGAAAATTCAGTCTCTTAAATACGCTGAAGAAGCCTGCTACAATGGAACCTTAAGCTTAAAAGCATTCAGTTCTGGATTAGAAATTGGTGCTTGTAATTGGACCATTGTCAGCCCAAAAGGAAGCATCACATATCTTTCTGGATCTATTTTTGCACCATTAACTGCAATGAGTTTTGATTACATTTCAATTCAAAAAAGTGATGTATTGTTATACTCTGGCTATGCACCTTCTGATGTTGACAATGTGGATGATGATAACAGCGGCTCTTCCCTAGCTAATGATGATTCCCTCAATCCAAGGTACCTCCTTACCTCCTACTGGATGTATGTCTGTATGCATATGTGTGTTGTGTGGTTCTAGGGTTATGTAGTTGTGTTAAGTATATTATCATTACTCATTAGTGCTTTTACATCTCCCTCATTTACATTTTCTCTACATTCCACTATTTACTAGATGGATATACAACAACCTGGGGGTCAAGATGTACACAACCTTAACCCTGTTAAAACAGAGAGGCTGTTTTGCTTAGATCCTTATGCATTGATGCATTTACTACCCAACACTTCATAAAAAGTCAGAAGCAAACAAAGTTTAATGTGCCATTTTGATTTCGTCCACTTTTTACCCAAAGCTAAAGCATTGTCAATGGCGAGTGGTGACTCTTTAGCTCCATTGGCAATGGACCATAGAGGGATATAGATATACTTCAGTTCATTTGAATTTTGGCAAATGTGCACTTTTGCAGTGGCAGTGACATTTTCATGGAAGTGGCTGCCAAATATTTTATTGATTCTAGTGAGAACACTGAAGAGTCTGAGAAAATAAATTTTCTCTGTTCATGTGTTTTGGACTCTATTAATGCTGGAGGGTCAGTCCTTATTCCTATTGGACGTTCGGGTATCATGTTGCAGCTACTGGAGAATGTAGGGCTTTCCTTAGAGTCTTCAAATTTGAAGGTATGTTTCTAAGAGAAGTGAGTGAATCCTGTAAATTTGAGAGTAATGCTTAGTTATTGTTTTCACTTTTGTTTCCAAAAGGCGTTCTTATTCATAATTCATAAATGCTAACATTTTCTTAGGTGCATACTGATGTCTAACAAATTAGGATTTAGGCGGCAGAACACAGGTTGCTGTTCTTCATTTTTTTAAATTCCCCTCCCCCCCATTACCAATTTACCATGCTGCTATTGGCCTTTTCAAATGTCATACTTAATTTAATGAAACTGCAGAAGCAATTTACACATAGCATTAATATTGTAGTGGTCTGTGTAGCAACTCTAGCAAGAATTTTGTTGCTAAACTTAATATTTATCCTTTTTCTAGTGACTATACTATTAGAATTATGCCACTAAATCACTCTTTTGAGAGAATGCAAGCTCATTCCCGTAGTATTGCTTTTCAGTTTTTTTTCAAGTTTAGTTTAAAGCATTACATTATATATCTTGGTTCCTTTAACACATCTGAACAAGTCTGAAAGTGATATTAATCATTTGTGTTTAGGTTCCCATATTTTTTATTTCTTCTGTAGCTAAAGAGTTGTTGGCCTTTTCCAATGTTATACCAGAATGGCTGTGCAAGCAAAAACAAGACAGGGTATGCTATAAACATATGTGCTTATCTGCTTATGTATGTCTTAACACCCCGTTATAAGGGATTATTATTTGAATCTAAATTTCCATTGAATGGATATTTCAGTTATACGCCGGCCAATCTCTATTTTCTTATGTTGAGCTTCTGAATAGCAAAAGGCTGCAAGTGTTTCCTGAAATTCATTCTCCTGAGTTACTGTAAGATGAATCCTCCCTGTCGAGTGGACGGTGTTTTTAAGAGTATACGTTAGTTTGAGTATGTTTTAGGGAAATATGTTTTTTTTCAATTGGAGTATGTTAGGATTTGTTTTTCTTTTGTTTCAGTAGTTTTGGCAGTACACTGTTACGATTTCTGAAAGGTTGTTCATCTCAGCCTTATAACCAAGTTTTGTGCATAGAACTATTTGGCAGGAGCCTTGTGTAATATTTTGTCCACATTGGAGTCTGCGATTAGGACCTGTTGTTCATTTGCTTCGCCGCTGGTGTGCAAATCCGGACTCTTTACTTGTTATGGAGGTGTGTTCTTGTCTGCAAGCTACTCCCTCTGTCCAATCGTTTTTCTCTGTTTCCTTTTGGGTTGTTCGTGCTTTTGTTTCTCCTTTGTTAGTTTACTTTGTCTTTGCTTGAGCCAGTGGTTTTTTGGAAACAGCCTCCCTACTTCCGAGTAGGGGTAAGGTCTGCATACACACACTCCCTACTTTTGTGGGATTTTACTAGGTCTGTTGTTGTTGTCCTCTTTGGGTTGTCTTTAACATTTCCTCATGTACCCTGTTAACGAAAGATTTGCGTGGCTGGTACTGTTTTTATTATGTCTAAATACTGAATAAGTTACAATTACACAGTTTCATTTTCTTAAGAAGTGTGTCAAGTCAAACTGAAAATAATTTTTTTAAATTGATTGAGTATTTCAATTTATAGAACGAATCCTTGCCCGCTAGCACAAAAGCTTAGCTATGGCTATGCCCTTCCTTTTCTTGAGACTTCACTGCTGAATATTGCATACAAACTGCTTTTTTCAGGAAGGAATTGATCTTGACTTGGGTGTTTTGCCTTTCAAGCCAATGGAAGTGAAAGTTCTGAAGTGCTCATTTATTTCTGGAATAAAGTAAGGTATCTCTCTCTTTTGAGAATTTAAGCAAGTTTTTTTAAAGATTAATACCCAATAGTCCTCGGTTTACACTGTTAGTCTCTTACTCAATTTGGTTTTAAACCCCTCCATATGGTACCTTCTAACGGTTACGCGTACCTTTATAGTGTCAAGAAAGCTCCATATTTGCTGGAAGCACTGCAACCAATGCATGTTGTGGTAATCCAATCCCCTGATTCGTACATGTTGTACTGCAAGAAACTGACCGAGTCTCCACTCCTTGATTCTTCTAACCACTTCTCTTATTGTTCAATCCAGCTTCCTGAAGACCTGAGGCCACACTTTAGCCATTTGAACCACACATATTCCTTGAGCTATTTTTCAGAAAATGAGACTCTGGTCATACCCAAGTTGAAGAAGCAGGGTTCAGAACTATCCATTGCTGTAGATCTGGCTTCCCAACTCCTATGTTGTGCAAAGTCGCCGCTAGGAAAGGATGGCAAGGAATTTGTGAGGCTAAAGGGAGAGTTATCCATGGAGAGAGGGAAGTATCAATTGGTCATAGGAAATGATCGAGCACCATCTTCTTCGCAAAGCAGACCGGTTGTCTGTTGGGGTAGAATTGACCCAGAGGCACTTGTTGCTGCATTAGGGAACACGGGAATCAAAGCAACCGTTGAGCAAAGTCAACCTTCTTCTTCTTCTTCTACCACTACTAAATCCATGATACACATCTCAGAGCCTAGTGAAGCTTCAATTGAAGTTTCAACAGAAAAAACTCTCATCAGTGCTGCAGATGAGGATTTTGCCTTGCGGATTTCCGAGTCTATATGTACCCTTTTAAAATGCATTTGAATGGGGAGTTCGTTTCCAAAGTTCATAACTCGAGGTAGTATTTACATAACGATTGGAGAAGAACCCTGTGATAGAGTCATGCTTTTCTCAACCAGGCTTTTAATTTTAAAACTTGCCATCATGAGTTCATTGATCTATTTTGTAAAATATTTATTCTGTGTCCCTCTGGGCTTGATGAGGTGCCACATAGGTGCCCCATAACCTAGTGGGTGTGAATAGAAAAATGTTCCATATATGTTATGACTTATGAGCTTGAAAGTGGGGCGTAACCAAAAAAATGGAGTGAATGTACTAATTGTTTTGATTTGTTGATGTACTTCTCCATCTTCATTTCTTTTTTGGTTTTTGTTCAAAAGCTGGAGTCAACAACCCTAAATAAGACTAAAACATAGAAAAAGTATCAAAATACAGCTTCAATTTTTTTATTTCCAAAATAGAAGTTTGCATTGTGCTAACGTGGAGGTAATGTGGTATTATACACGTGCACATTAGTGTAGTTTTAGGCAATGTATATGACTACGTTTCGTAATGTAAATGTATTTTAAGTCCTACTTTTAAATAAAAACATGAAAGTTCTATTTTGGTATTTTCAATGCTTTACTCTTATTTTAGTCTTTTTCTCTTCATAAAGATCCTAAGTTTTCTCTCTAACTTAGAACAACCATAAAACCCTCACTATGGAATTCAGATCAACACGAACTAGAGATGTCAACTCTGATAACGGATAGGGTGGATGTGGATGAATATTTTTCTCATCTTTCACCCAATTCATCACTTGAATCATCTATATTTATAAAGAAGAAATAAGTTCATGTTTATAAAACATACGCATGTGTCATCTAGTTTCAAATAAAAAACTAATTTAATGTACTATAGTTAGTTTTCTCAAATCTCAAATATTTTTATACATAAAACAGATATTATTAACATTGTTTACAATATTTGCTTAAGTTTTACGAAACCCTCTTATTTGATGTGGTACTATCTTCGACGATGTGAATGTAGAAGGTGAATAAAAACACTGCTAGAGAAACCATAGATAAGTATAAAGTACGTCGATTAACTAATATTTCATTTTTATTTTTTAATCATAAAATATTTGAGTTTTAAATATTTTCATTGAATGCAAAACGATGAAAAGTAAGAAAGATACAAGTGAGATCAAGAATTATTGAAATATAAATTAAAGAACTTGGTTAGCATATGAAAATTGTGCTCTAATTCAACTTCTACTTTTAATCGTGTTAATGATTTTATGAGAACTTAACTTACTTTATCTATACTCTATACAAAAGCAAAAGAAATCTAAATAAAATTTCTCAAAAAAAAAAATTGCCGCCTGAAGTATCATGTTGTAACTACTAGCTACCGTTGATGAGCTTTTGGTGAATAATCGACGGCTGTAAATTTGGTATTGAAGAGGCGCACATATTATGCTGAAACTGAGTAAAATCGCTGCCCATTGATTCAAAATCGCAAAAAAAAAACATTTATAGATATGATATTAGAAAGTGAGACTTTTAAAGGAATGGAGGCTCCAACTTTGTCTCAAAACAGAAATGCACCATCTTTGATGCATTTTCAATATTCATATCCCGATTTTATATTCTCTAGGGTACATATTGGTGTATTCCAAGTATAACCCCAAATATTTTATAACGTACATTTTGTAATAAAAATTTATGGCTCAAAATATTTGGGGTACATTTCTTTTATAGATTACCCACTATATTCATTAAAAAATACAAGTTGACGGTACATGTTGACCAGTGACAAATGACAGTGGGGGTGCGGGATGGGGAATAGGGGGGATTAGGTGGGTCAGTGGGTGGGTGGGAGTGGGCTGACGCAATGGGTGTGGACGGAGGGTAGGAGGGGATAGGAGTGGCACAGTGGGAGTTGACGATGGGTGGCAGAGCAAGAGCGGGCGGGTGTGGGAGGGGTTGAGGTGGGTGTGGTAGGGCATGAGCGGGTGAGCGAGGGAAAATATTTTTTTTGTTGGAAAATACTTTCTTACCATTTATGTTATCAAATAGGGAAATTAAAAATTAGATCAAAATTTTCTGAAAAAAAAATATTTTCACTCTTGGCACACATTTAATATTCATTGTTTTTTATTATGACATTTCGTTTTAGAATTCAATATTTAGAAATAGTCTTATACCGAGTAATTATTTTTTTGAGTGTATATATAGCTAGGGGTGGGATCGGTTTTTGCGGTTCGGTTTTCACCCAAAACCAAAGACAAAACGGAAGCTAAATTGGCGGTTCGGTTCGGTTTGGTTTTGCATAAAAATATGTAAACCGTTGGTTATTCGGTTCGGTTTATACGGTTTTTATTTCGGTTTTTTTCGGTTTATAAAAGTAGAAATATATAAGCATTAAAAATTGTAAAAACACTAACTCGATGGAGCAATAACAATATGTTGTGTTAGGTTTGGTTTTTTGGTTTGAGTTTTACACAAAAACAAAAATCAAACAGAAGGTTATTGTATCATTCGGTTCAATTTTACATAAAAAAAGTGTTGAGTACCCAACAAACATTTAGGAGATTCCAAATACTTCCAAAGACATCGTATGTAAAATTAATTATGAAGAATTTGTGTTTTTTGGTATAATATTTTCATTTTCATTATAACATCAAAGTATTTTTTTATGTAAATATGTAAATTACTCGTATCAATATTAAATGTTAATATAATTCTATATTTGGATTAGCTATTGGTGTTTATATTCATAGATTTTTTAAAAGTTTATAATGGTATGGCTAAAATGTTTAATTAATAGTTAAGAAAATAATTTTAATCGACTAGTAATTTATTTGCATTTATATTTCTATGATTTTTCTACATATCACATATATTTATATATAAAAAAGCAAAGTATCTAAGAAAGTTCAGTTTATTCGGTACAGTTCGGTTTTTCAAAGTGAAAACCAAAACGGAACCAAACACTAACGGTTCGGTTCGGTTTTTTTACATTTGGTTTCGGTTTCTTCGGTTCGGTTTTTTTTCTAGCTCGTTTTGATCGGTTTCGGTTCGGTTTGCGGGTTTCGGTTTTCCCAACCCAGCCCTATATATAGCCTTATTATTAATGATGTTTTTTGCACAACTTATATACTACGTATTATTGATGATTATATTGGTCATTAGGTGGTATAAATCGTTCCTTATACTTTTATTACTGAATTGTTTGCAAACACTTCCTCTGTTGCAAAAAAAAAAGTTTTTATAGTTTAATTTTTTTGGGTCAAATTTTGGCAATAAATTCTAGAAAAGTATATTTAATTTATATAAATTTAATATAATTTTGAAACAACTCCATAATACTCTTGAGAAAATAGTAACTCTATGGTAATAAAGTGGTTAACCACTACGGAGTACTCCCTCCATCCCAAAAAGTCCAACACGTTTTGAAAAAACTGCGTCCCGTAAAGTCCGTTGCATTTCTATTAAAAAACTACTTTTACCCCTTACTTTTTCCTACCCTATCTATCACATCATACTTTTTTTCTAATAATCTACCCATCACATACTACTTTTACCCATCACATCAAGGGTATTTTTGGAAAGTCCACACCAAATTATCTCTCCCTTAATTTCCCAAAAAGTCAATATGTACCAATCTTCTTGGGACGGAGGGAGTATTATATAAAAAGGGATTTATGTTAAGAATTAAGATAATAGAAATATTATCAAGAACAAGATTATAGAGATATACCTTGATAAGAACAAAAAATGGAAGATCAAAGTGCAATGGAGAGTGAAAGAGAAAGAATGCAATGAGAAACTAAAGATATGGATGTCTCATTTCAACATATGGAGCCTCTATATATAAGCTTACAAAGGGGAAAATCAAAGGTCTAACTTAGACATGGAGAACATCAAAAGACATTTGTACATAACACTCCCCCTTGGATTTTGGATGTTCACCATTTAGGTAGACTTGAGCTTAAGACACTGCCTCGTTAAAACCTTGCCAAGAAAAACCCAATGGGACAAAAACTTGGACGAAGGAAAAAGAGTACAGTGCTTATAATGCTCCCCTGGACATGACAAAAGATCCTTGAGTTGACGCATTCCAATACCATTGATCATCTTCCTAAATGTCGTGGTTGGCAATGCCTTTGTGAACAAATCCGCAAGGTTATTGCATGACTGTATCTGACGAACCTCAATGTCTCCACTTTTATGAAGCTTGTGCGGATAGAAGAATTTTGGTGATATGTGCTTCGTCTTGTCACTTTTGATGTAGCCACTTTTAATTTGTGCAATACAAGCAGCATTATCCTCATAGAGTAATGATAGAACCTTATTCAAAGATAATCCAGAAGTTTCTCAAATGTGATGAACCATTGACCTTAACCATATGCATTCTCGACTTGCTTCATATAGCGCAGTTATCTCCGAGTGATTTGACGAGGTTGCAACTAGTGTTTGCTTTAATGATCTCCATGATATTGCAGCACCACCACAAGTAAAAACATATCCACTTTGTGATTTACCCTTATGTGGGTCAGAAAGATAGCCAGCATCTGCGTAACCAACAACTTGTGGTTCCGAACCTTTCGAATAAAACAGGCCCATATCGGTTGTTCCACGAAGATAACGTAAGATATGTTTAACACCATTCCAATGTCGTCGTGCTGGTGCTTAGCTATATCTTGCCAACAAATTAACCGAAAAGGCTATATCAGGTCTTGTACAATTTGCAAGATACATTAGCGCCCCTATAGCACTTAAGTAAGGTACCTCCGGACCTAAAAGTTCTTCATTATCTTCTCGAGGGCGAAAAAGGTCCTTCTTTACATTTAATGATCGAACAACCATGGGACTGCTCAATGGGTGTGCCTTATCCATGTAAAATCGTTTTAGGACCTTTTCCGTATATGTTGATTGATGGATAAAAATCCCATTCGACACATGCTCGATCTGCAGGCTGAGACAAAACTTGGTTTTCCCAAGATCTTTCATTTCAAACTCTTTCATTAAATAGTTTGCAGTCTTTATTAACTCTTCTGGTGTTCCAACAAGGTTTAAGTCATCTACATATACTGCTATGATAGCAAATCCAACTTCAGATTTCTTGATGAAAACACATGGACAAATTGGATCATTTATGTAGTCTTCTCTAACAAGGTATTCACTAAGACGGTTATACCACATTCTACCAGATTGTTTCAATTTGTATAATGATCTCTGTAGCTTGATTGAGAATAACTCACGAGCTTTCTGATTGCATGCTTCAGGAATTTTAAACTGAGTAC